TTCTTTCTTTTTAAGATTTATTTATTTGAGAGAGAGAGTGCGAGCGGGAGGAGGGGCAGAGGTGGAGGGAGAGAGAGAAGCTCAAGCAGACTCCCTGCTGAGTGTAGAGCCCATCGCTGGGCTTGATCTCACGACCCTGAGATCACAACCTGAGCCAAAATCAAGAGTTGGACACTCAACCGACTGAGCCGCCCAGGCGCCCCTATGCCATTTCTTTTTATAGACTTATTGCAGTGGTTAGAATTCCCACTAATATACTGAATAAGAGTGGTAGAATGAACATTCTTGCCTTGTCCCTAATCTTAGAAGGAAAACATTCAGCTGTTTATCAATTATGACATTTGTAGATTTGGTTGTAGACGTTTTTCATCAAGTTGAATTAGTTTCCCTTTATTCCTCACTCAGAATTTTTAAATCACAAATGGATGTTGCCAAACCAATGTTTAGGAGGTGAAATTACTGGTAATGCTTATATTTGACAAGAATAATGTTTCAGGGCACCTGGTTGGCTCAGTCAGTTAAGTGTCTGACTCTTGGTTTCAGCTCAGGGTCCTGAGATCAAGCCCCACATGGGTTCCCAGCTCAGCAGGGAGTCTGCTTGTCCCTATTCCTCTGCTCCTCTCTCTCTCTCTCTCTCTCTCTGGAATAAATAAATGTAATCTTAAAAGGAAAAAAAGAATAAAGTTTCTTCCACTCTGATTCACTGGAAAAATAAGAATGAATTAAAACCAAAGCATGTAAAAGGGAAAAAAGTGATAGAAGCAGAAATCAGTGAAATTAAAAACATGAAAAGAATAGGAAAAAATGAAACAAAAACTGGTTTATTGAAAAAATCAAAATTGATAGACCTCTAGCCACACTGACCAAGAAAAATAGAGAAAACACAAATTACCAATACTGAGAAATAGTGTATACCACTAAAGACCTTAACTAACATTAGAAACTTGACACAGGTGTTCTATAACTAACTCTATGATGGTAAATTTGACAACTTAGATGAAGAGGACCAATTTTTTTTTATTCTTATGTTAATCCCCATACATTACATCATTAGTTTTAGATGAAGTGTTCCATGATTCATTGTTTGTGCATAACACCCAGTGCTCCATGCAGAATGTGCCCTCCTCAATACCCACCACCAGGCTAACCCATCCTCCCACCTCCCTCCCCTCTAGAACCCTGTTTGTTTTTCAGAGTCCATCGTCTCTCATGGTTCGTCTACCCCTCCGATTTCCCCCACTTCATTCTTCCCCTCCCGCTACCTTCTTCTTCTTCTTTTTTTTTTTCTTAACATATATTGCATTATTTGTTTCAGAGGTACAGATCTGAGATTCAACAGTCTTGCACAATTCACAGCGCTTACCAGAGCACATACCCTCCCCCGAAGAGGACCAATTTTTGAATGACAAAAATGGCTAAAACTCAGGAAGAAATAGAACAACCTGAATAGTCCCATACCTACTAAAGAAATTGAATTTGTAGTTAAAAACCTTCCCACAAACCAGAACAACCACTATAGAAAAACCATAGAAAGTAATACTCTCAAAATCACTATAAATAAGTCAAGATAAAGTCTTTAACAATATGTAACCCATTAGTAGGCAAGAAAAAAAGAAACAGAAGACCCAAACAAAAAAGAATAAAATTGCCCAAAGTGCTAATATCAATGGTAACCTTACACTGGGATCTCTGGGTGGCTCAGTCAGTAAGCATCCGACTCTTGATTTCTGCTCAGGGTCATGATCTCAGGTCATGATCTCAGGGTCATGAGATTGAGCCCTGTGTTCGGCTCCATGCCCATCATGGAGCTTGTTTAAGATTCTCTCTGTCCCTCTCCCTCTGCCTCTCCCCCACCCACTGCTCCCTTAGACTCTCTCTCTAAAAAAAAGAAAGAAAAAGGAAACACACATATATGATACTTATATTTATGACAAAAGTCCAGAGTGGTGGGGAAAAAGAGTTCTCTTCAGTAAATACAACTGGATCACTTCTATAGCGATATGTGAAAAAATACCCATTCCTCACATAGTACACAAAATCAATTCCAGATAATTGTTGTTCTATTGGTGAAAGGTAAAGCAATTCTAAAGCATAATATGGAAGAATTTTGAGTTTAAGGCAAGTAAAGATTTCTCCAATAAAATACAGAAAGCATTATATATTGTTTTCTTGAGCTCTTTACAGATTTTCACAGCATCCTCTTCTTGTTTTATGGATGTAATATCTTCTCCAGTGATATAAATTCGAATCTTTTAACTTAGTTTTCCAAGACCACCTTTTTGCTTGTTTACTTTTTCACATTTCTGGCGTCCACATATGTCTGATGGTTCTAAGTTTTCCTAGGACTAGATACTTACAGGTAGCAGATGTAAGTTTCCTTTGCTGTTGTGTAAGTAGGTTTGTTTCTTCATTGGTCTGAATGGGAAAGCTGATGGGGAGCTCTGGGTACATGGCTGGATGGACAGCCCTTTGGCTGGGAATCTCCAAAATGTCAGGATTCCTAAACCATTAGCCTGTCATCACAGAACCAGACCCATTTCTCTAGAAGCTTTCTGGCTTCTTTCCCTGGTGATAAACACTGGACTGCCAGGCCCTTGGAACCTTGCCACCTCTGGGTCCAAAGCGCCCTAAGTTTCTCCAGGGATGTCTCTTCCCTAACCCTCTGTGGCCCTCTTTTGTATAAATTTGCCTCTGGCTTCCTCCACTGGACTTCTCTCAGCATCATGCTCTCATCCACTTCTCTTCTCCCAGAAGAATGTGAAAATCTTTAATCTACTGAACACCCCTTCCTTTATTCATTTCTTTTGTTATTATTGTTGTTATTCAATGGTAGCAAGTGAAGGAAAATAGATTTTGTCAAACTACCCTCTTAAAATGGGAACTTCTAACTTTTAACTCACTTAACTTAGTGTTTGCTAAAATTATTCGGACATAATATCCTATTAAATTCCAAATGGAACATATATTTAGAAACCGTGTTATATATGGATTTGAGGGGATTATGGGAAGGTTGATCAATCTGACTATGGGAATAAAATTTCTTGTGTCCTTTATGACGAAAACCATGTCAGTATCCCCACATGTAGAATTTTTTTTTTTTTATTGTACTAAATGTTTCAGTAATACAGCTTAGGCATCCTGGTGTTCACAAGCCCTGGGGTGTGAAATCTTATAACTGAGTACTTTTCCAAGTAGCAAAATGAATCTAAAAATGTTTCAAGGAAAACCCATGTTCTGTCCACTAGTACTCAAGTCTCTTTAGGGCAAGAAGCCTGGTTAACCTTCACATCCTTCAGAAAAGTTTCCCAACTCATCTGTTCACTTATCACTTCTCTTCATTTATCTCTCTGCCTTCAGCCTGCCACATGGAAAAGCACAACACTGGGCTCTCCTCAGAAAATATAATCTCAACCTGTCAGCTATGCAACTTCTGCTCAAAATCCAGGCTGAGTAAAAACAGTCTGAAGGAAGATCATCTAAAGTAGTGTTTCCTAAACATTGTTCTGTGAAACACTGGCCCTGCCAGATATCAGCAGGTCCTTAAGGATCAAAGAAGTTCCATGATTAACCAAATGCACAATTGCATATTAAAGGGTCTGAAAAGGAAAGCCCCATAGGAACTACTGTGTTTAACTTCTTTTAAACCAGACTTTCCCCAACAGTATTCGACTCTGGAACCTTTCCTCAGGGGTTTTTACCAGAAGCACACATAAGAAATCCACTTCTCCATTTGTTACACAATGTTGCTGGAAAAAAATCATCTCTTGTGATACTTGTTGTCCAAAACACTCCACAAAACAAGTGTCTTTCTGAGTTTGTGTGAAGTGGGGGGTGGGAACAGGGGCACTTTACCCTTTCTGATGAGCAGAACCATGTAACTTGTTCCCCTTTTTTTCTCGAGGAAACTCTGAGTCAAACTTGATATTCAGTCTTAGTAAAGATATCGGTTTCTGTGATTAGCATATTTACTTCCTTCCTCTTTCCATATTCTTATTGTTTTGATTTTATTTAATCCTGTTACTATATCCTTTGGTAAACCCTCTCAAAAATATTCTAGGAACAGTTAAGACCAAAAAGTGTTTCAAAGGGCTAAGAAAGAAAACCTGACCAAAATGACATTTAGTGTTGATAGATGATAATGTAATATTTATGATCATATAGATTCAACAATACAATCATAGTCTAATCACACATTGTGACAACTTTCCCAGGACTTCAAAAATTTTTGTGTGGATTTCAATTGTAAGAAAATATTGGCTTTAAAAAATAATTACTATCATGTTGTTGTGCCATAGTGAAGTACTTGATAACAAAAAGAAAAACCTCAGAGAAACTATAGTTTTATATTTCCATGACATGGGGGGATGTGGACACATTTAAGAATAGACAAGTTTTATTTCAAAATGCAAATTCATCATCAGAGGAGGTTGGCTGTTTCCCTAGGCTTCGTTTGAACATATTACCTCATCTAGGACACATATCATGCTGTTCTTAGGAAATGTCTTCGGTTGGCTTTTTAAGTGACAATGCACAATCCTGCTAATGGGGGAAGGGAAGAAACGAGGGAAGAAGAGGATTCAGAACTGAGGTCTTCAGTGACACACATCCCTTAGAATTTATGTTGAGTTATATAATTAAGCTACTTTCCCCCTAACATTAATCATGATGTATGGGTGGGGAGGGAAACTAAACACCTTGGTAGTATGATAATAGTTAAATAAGTTATGGTGGAATACTGCAAAATCAAGAAAACTGAATTTTAAAAAATACTTAACAGTTTTAATGCAGCTTTAAGCACTTGTGAATTTGGAATCATAAATATTTAATCTTTTGATTTTTGTGTTAGTCAACATTTGCCACCTTCAGTTAGAGATACTAAAACAGAAAAGTTAAATTTATTATTCTGAATTCAAAACACTAAATAAGTACAAAAGAAAGTTAAATAAGTGATGTAATTTTATAAATTTATAGGTGTATTTATTTATTTATTTTTTAAATAGGCTCCATGCCCAGTGTGAGGCCCAATGTGAGGATTGAACTCATGGCCCTGAGATCAAGACCCAAGCTGAGATCAAGAGTCAGATGTTCCACCAACAGAGCCACCCAGGTGCCCCAAAGCTTAAAAGACTTTTAAGACTCCCTGTATTATTTATTGAGTAGTACAGGCTACTAACATTATGTACAAATTGTTCCAAATTTTCTAAAGCCTAACGTGTATGTCTATATAGAAAAAAATCTACAGAATTATAATGATGCATATTTACAAAGCTTTATTCCCTGTTATGGGATGTTTGTTTTCTTTTTCATGCTTTTCTGTGTTTTCTACATTTTCTACAGTCAACATATATAGAATTTTTAATATGGAAAGAAAACTTAAAAATGGCCATGTTCTGGTTACCTGCCCTTTCTCCTTCCAAGCTGAACAGATTTGGTTTAGGCTTGTGACCCCAGGCCTTCCACTCACTTCTGGCTGGGGCTTGATAGGTTGAGGTTGCCCCATCTGCCTGCAGGTGGACGATCGGGAATGGGTATAGGCTCACTCTGACAAGGAGACTGGTGGACAAGTTTCCTGGAAATTTTTGAAAAAAGTGTCTTCACTTTTGAGCAAGAGCTGCAGGAACAGACTACTGCTTTCTAGCTGAGAGGCCTGCTGCCATGGGATGAAGCCAACACACAGAGGAGAGCAGCAGGAGGGTCTCAGGGAACAGGCCAGGGCTCAGGGTCATCCAGCATGGGGCTGCCTGACCGCTGGCTGCCCAGGCAGGAGACCTGACACCTGTCATCGTGTTTAAGCCAATTCAAACTGGGATTTCTAATCCTTTCATCCTAAAACATCCTGACAGAAGAGGCTCCTTCTGAAATCCTTGCTGCTGTTGGCCATTGGACAGTGTTTTCCTTCTTTGATCCAACCTGTCAACTCTAGCAAGTGAGCAAAGCTTAGTTGATTTGAGACCACTAAGCTCAGGCTACCAACTTAGAAGGAAGGTGTTCTAGCTTAAGAAGGACTTCTAAACCCCTAGGATGTAAATAAACATCTCTAAAGATTTTTCTCGGATTTGTATTATTTCTTATATTTAAATTTTAATTCATCAGGAGTTTATTTTTGTATATAGTGTGTGAAAGGGGATTCAGCGTTCTTTTTTCCCAGGTGATAGGTAGTTGTGTTAGTAACTTCCTTTACCAGTAGTGTGAATAACATTTTAAACATCAATAAAAAAAATTTCCATCTAAGCATCTGCCTTTGGCTCAGGTCCTGATTCCCAGGATCCTGGGATTGAGTCCCACATCAGGCTCCCTGCTCAGTGAGGAGTCTGCTTCTCCCTCTGCCCCTCCCCCCCATTTGTGCTCTCACTCTCTCTCTCAAATAAATAAAATCTTAAAAAAATATTTCCATCTGTATTCATAGGAGGCATTGGTCTATTCTCTCTTTTTATTGTTATTATTGTTATAAAGTTTGTGTTCAAGTGATGCTAGATTTGTGAAATAAATCGAGGATATTGCCACATTTCTATAGTTTGAGATAGATTAAATGAAATTAGAATTAACTGAGAACTGGGACTCAGTTGGGACCATCTGGTCCCAGGTGTTTTTATCAATGGTATATTTTTAATTGCCATTTCAGGTTCATCTATGGTAATTGATTTATTCAAGGTTTCCACTTCTTGGTTTAATTCTGGTAATTTTACATTTTTCAAGGAAACCATCTGTTTCCAAGTATGTTGCCATAAGGTTGTAAGTAATATTTTTACAAGTCTCACCTGTCTCTGTGTCCTTGACTTTCTGATTTTGTCATTCTATTTTTGTATCCTTTTGCTGTTTATTTTTGCCTTTATCCATCTCACAAAAGTTTACATTATTAGTCTTTTCAATGAAATGCTTTTGGATTTGTTTATCCTTCCTATGTTTTCTTTCTATGTTTCTATTACATAGATTTTAGCCTTTATTAAGTTCTTCTTCCAACTCTTTGTGCTTTAATTTATTGTTCCCTTACTAATTTCTTAAAATGAGAACTGCTATGGGTTGAATTGTGTTGAATAATATGTTGAAATCCTAACTTCCTATACCTAAGAATCTGACTTTACCTGGAAAGAGGGCCATTGTAGATGTAATTAGTTAAGATGAGGTCATACTGGAGTAGGATGGGTCCTTAATTCCATATGACTGGTGTCCTTATACAAACACAGCCATGTGAAGAAACAGAGGCAAAGAGAGAACAACATGTAAAATGGAGGCAGAGATTGAAATATATATGCTTCTACAAGCCAAGGAACATCTGTGCCTACCAGAAACTGAAAGAAGTAAGGACAGATCTTTCACTGGAGGTTTTGGAGGGAGCATGGCCTGGCTAACACCTGATTTCAGACTTCTAGTCTTCAGAAGTATGAAATAATAAATTTCTGTTGTTTTAAGCCACACAATTTATGGTGCTTTGTTATGGCCACCCTGGGAAACTAACACATGTACTAAATTCCTTATTTATTAATTTTAATTTTTCATCAAGAAACATATTTGAAATTTTAAATATGGATAATAATTTCATTTTGATTTTTTTTTTTATCCAAAGCTTATCTAGCTCTGGGTTTCATAATTTCCAAGTAAAGAAATTTTTTTTGAAGATTTTATTTATTTATTTGACAGAGAGAGACACAGCGAGAGAGGGAACACAAGCAGGGGGAGTGGGAGAGGGAGAAGCAGGCTTCCTGCAGGGCAGAGAGCCCAATGCAGGGCTCAATCCCAGGACCCTGGGATCATGACCTGAGCCAAAGGCAGTTGCTTAACGACTGAGCCACCCAGGCATCCCCAAGTAAAGAAATTTAAAAATTAATGGTTTTTTAAATGACTTCTAATTTTATTAAATTATTATTATAACCCTATCAAATTCCTAATTTTTAAATTTCTTAAAATTTTCTTCATACCTAAGAAATTAATCAGTTTTGTCAGTGTTAGATGGGCAAATGGAAAAAAAAGTATGTTTTCTATTTAACAAATGTGACAGTCATATATATCTACTAATTGACTTTCTTGATCAGCTTATTAAATTTTTCTATGTCCTTACTCATCTTAACTTGATTCAGTTTTCTAAGAATTATTTTAGTATTTCCCTTTATGGTGGTATTTTAATTTATTTTTAAAACTTGTAATTAATTTTTAAAATTTAATTTACTTGTAGATGTACATACAATTGTATGAACGAATACAGAAGAGTGATATCACTGAAAATGGTGGAATAGAGACTTCCAGGACTCTGTCTCTGTGTAGAAATAATAAGCTAAAACAATGGTCAGATTCAACTTTCAGAGAATTGTGAAATCCAGTCAAAAACTTACAATAAACAAGGAAAAGCTTAATAAAGAAGTTGCTTTATTAAGGTAAGAGAGCACTGTGGTTCTCTTTAAATTTTCTGTCCGCCATCCCCCACTACCTGATCAATGGTGGCCATGAAGCCCTACACTCTTAATGCAGGTATCTGGTGCCAGGGCCAGCAATACAGATCTTATTCTCAAGAATTGCCATTGTGTGTTTTGACCTGTATGGCAGTTCCCTGAAGGACTGGTGTAAAGATTTGTCTTTATTTTGCCCATCTCTCAATAGGCAGAAGAAAGAACCAGATAACTTGAATGTAGATCAAGTGAGATTATCAATTCTGAGGAGTTAAAAGATGAAAGAATGACTTGTGGGGATCCATCAAGTGTACCAACAAATGTAAAATGGCAGTCCCAGAAGGAGAGGAGAGAGAAAAGGGCCAGAAAAAATATTTCAAGAACTAATGGCATACAATATCCCAAATTTGATGAAAGATATGAATCTACATGTCCAAGAAGTTCAGTAAACTCCAAGTAGGATAAATTCAAAGAGATCCACAGCAAGACACATTATAAACTGTCTTAAGACAAAGGGAAAGAATCTTGAAAGCAGCAAGAATAAAGCAACTCCAGTAAGATTCATAATCAAATTATCTTGGAGAAACCATGGAGACCAGATGTCAGTAGAAGGACATATTTAAAATAATGAAAGAAAAAAAGCTAACAAAGAAGTATCCTATATATGGCAAAACTATACTTCAAAAGTGGAAGAGAAGTTAAAACATTGCAAAATATACAAAAACTGAAATAATTTATCATGAGTTAACCTGACCTAAAAGAAATGCTAAAGAAAGTCCTTCAGGCTGAAATGAAAGGACACTAGACAGTAACTAGAAGTCATACAAAGGAAAGAAAGAAAGAAAAAAAGCAATGGCAACTATATAGGTAGATATAAAAGCTAGTATCATTACAGTTTTTATTCGTATCTCCTACTTTATTTCCTAAAAAATGCAAAAACCAATACTTATAAATCCACGTTAATGGGTACATATGTATAAAGATATAATTTGTGAGAATGAAAACAAAGGGGTGGATGGAGGTATAAAGGAGCAGCATTTTTATATGCTATTGAAACTAAGTTGGATTAACTCAAACTTGATTGTTACAAAGCTATCGATTGTATTCCCCATGGTAACCACTAAGAAAAAGATGAAAAAATGCATAGAAAAAGAAAATGAGAATAAAATCAAAATTGTACACTAGAAAATAATCACAAAAGAAGGCAGTAAGGAGAGAATTGAGAAACAAAAATGATATGACATAGGAAACACATAGCAAAATGGTAGAAGTAAGTTCTACCATATCAGTGATTACTTCAGATGTAAATGAATTTTATTCACCAGTAAAAAGGCAGATCTTTGTAGAATGGGTAAAAAAAACCATGATCCAACTATGTGCTATCTATAAGAGACTCACTTTATATCCAAAGGCACACAGGTTGAGAGTGAAAGGACTGAAAAAGATATTCCATATAAATAGTAACCAAATGAGAGCAGAGGGTGGATATTCTAATATCAGAAAACTAGATTTTAACACAAAAATTGTTACAAGAGACAAAGGATAGTATATATTGATAAAAGAGTCAATTCATTGAGATTTAACCATTATAAACATATATAAACCTAAAAAGAGGACCCCACAACATATGCAACAAAAACTGATGGGATTGAAGGGAAAAATACACAGTTCTACAATAATAGTTGGAGACTTTAATACTACATTTTCAATAATGGATAGAACAACTAAATGGAAGATCAGTAAGGGAACATAGGACTTGAATGACACTACTAACCAACTAGACTTAATGAACATAGAACAATTCTCCCAAGAACAGAAGAATACACATTCCTCTCAAGGGTATATGGAACATTCTCCAAGATAGACCATATGTTAAGCCACAAAATGAGTCTCAATAAAATTATGAATATTGAAATCACACAAAATATCTTCCCCAACCACAATGGAATAAAATTAGAAATAGGGCGCCTGGGTGGCTCAGTGGGTTAAGTGACTGCCTTCGGCTCAGGTCATGATCCTGGAGTCCCGGGATCGAGTCCCATGTCGGGCTCCTTGCTCAGCAGGGGGTCTGCTTCTCCCTCTGACCCTCCCCCCTCTCATGTGCTCTCTCTCTCTCATTCTCTCTCTCTCAAATAAATAAATAAAATCTTTAAAAAAATTAGAAATAATAGAAGATCAATGGAAATTTTGCACATATGTCGAAATTAAACCACACATTTTAAAAAACAGTGGGTCAAAGAAATTACAAGTGAAATTTAAAAAGAGACAAATGGAAAGAAAAAGTCAATATAACTAAATTTATGGGGTTCAGTGAAGGTAGTTCTCAGAGAGAAATTTATAGCTGCAACATACCTACATAGAAAAAGAAGATCCCAAATCAGTTACCTAACTTTACATCTTAAGGAATTAAGTGAAGAAGAGCAAGCTAAACCCCAAGCTGGCAGAAAGAAAAAAATAATAAAAATTAAAGTGGAGATAAACAACTAGAAAAATAAAAAAAATAGTAAGAATTAATGAAATCAAAAGCTGGTTTTTGGAAAGATGAACAAAATTGACAATCCTTTAACTAGACTGACCAAGAAAAAAAGAGAGAAGACTCAAATTGCTAAAATCAGGAATGAAAATAGGAGATACATAACTCCAGACCTTATAGAAATAAAAGGATTATAAGAGCATAAAATGAGCAATTGTATGTCAAAATTAAAGTTTAGAGAAAATGGACAAATTCCTAGATACACACAAACCACCAAAACTGGCTCAAGAAGAAACAATATCTAACAGACATAAAAAGTAAAGAGATTGAATCAGTAATCAAAATCTTCCAACAAAGAAAAGACTAGGACCAGAAGTCTTTTTTGGTGAATTCTATAAATCATTTAAAGAATTGACACCAATCCTTATCAAACACTTCCAAAAATGGAAGGCTAGGGAACAGTTCTTTTATTTTCTTTTTTAAATTTTCAAATTTTTTTTAGTAATCTCTACATCCAACTTGGGGCTCCAACTCACGACCTTGAGATCGAGAGTCACATGCTCAGGGCGCCTGGGTGGCTCAGTCATTAAGTGTCTGCCTTCAGCTCAGGTCATGATCCTAGGGTCCTGGGATCGAGCCCCGCTTTGGGCTCCCTGCTCTGCGGGAAGCCTGCTTCTCCCTCTCCCACTCCCCCTGCTTGTGTTCCCTCTCTCGCTGTGTCTCTCTCTGTCAAATAAATAAATAAAATCTTAAAAAAAAAAAAAAAAGAGTCACATGCTTTTCTGACTGAGCCAGCCATGCGCCCCTAGGGAACAGTTCCTTTATTTTTTATTTTATTTTTTTTCACCTTTAAGATCTTTTTTTTTTATTCTTATGTTAATCCCCTACATTACATCATTAGTTTTAGATGTAGTGTTCCATGATTCATTGTTTGTGCATAACACCCAGTGCTCCATGCAGAATGTGCCCTCCTCAATACCCACCACCAGGCTAACACATCGTCCCACCCCCTCCCCTCTAGAACCCTCAGTTTGTTTTTCAGAGTCCATCGTCTCTCATGGTTCATCTACCCCCTCCGATTTCCCCCGCTTCATTCTTCCCCTCCTGCTACCTTCTTCTTTTTTTTTTTTTTTTAACATATATTGCATTATTTGTTTCAGAGGTACAGATCTGAGATTCAACAGTCTTGCACAATTCATAGCGCTTACCAGAGCACATACCCTCCCCAGTGTCTATCACCCAGTCACCACATCCCTCCCACCCCATCCCCCACTCCAGCAACCCTCAGTTTGTTTCCCGAGATTAAGAATTCCTCATATCAGTGAGATCATATGATACATGTCTTTCTCTGTTTGACTTATTTCGCTCAGCATAATACCCTCCAGTTCCATCCACGTCGTTGCAAATGGCAAGATCTCATTCCTTTTGATGGCTGCATAATATTCCATTGTATGTATATACCACTTCTTCTTTATCCATTCATCTGTTGATGGACATCTTGGCTCTTTCCACAGTTTGGCTATTGTGGACACTGCTGCTATAAACATCGGGGTGCACGTACCCTTTCGGATCCCTACTTTTGTATCTTTGGGGTAAATACCCAGTAGTGCAATTGCTGGATCGTATGGTAGCTCTATTTTCAACTTTTTGAGGAACCTCCATACTGTTTTCCAGAGTGGCTGCACCAGCTTGCATTCCCACCAACAGTGTAGGAGGGTTCCCCTTTCTCCGCACCCCCGCCAACATCTGTCGTTTCCTGACTTGTTAATTTTAGCCATTCTGACTGGTGTGAGGTGGTATCTCATTGAGGTTTTGATTTGGATTTCCCTGATGCCGAGCGATATTGAGCACTTTTTCATGTGTCTGTTGGCCATTTGGATGTCTTCTTTGGAAAAATGTCTGTTCATGTCTTCTGCCCATTTCTTGATTGGATTCTTTGTTCTTTGGGTGTTGAGTTTGATGAGTTCTTTATAGATTTTGGATACTAGCCCTTTATCTGATATGTCATTTGCAAATATCTTCTCCCATTCTGTCAGTTGTCTTTTGGTTTTGTTGACTGTTTCCTTTGCTGTGCAAAAGCTTTTTATCTTGATGAAGTCCCAATAGTTCATTTTTGCTCTTGCTTCCCTTGCCTTTGGTGATGTTTCTAGAAGAAGTTGCTGCGGCTGAGGTCAAAGAGGCTGCTGCCTGTGTTCTCCTTTAGGATTTTGATGGACTCCCGTCTCACATTGAGGTCTTTCAACCATTTGGAGTCTATTTTTGTGTGTGGTGTAAGGAAATGGTCCATTTTCATTCTTCTGCATGTGGCTATCCAATTTTCCCAACACCATTTGTTGAAGAGACGGTCTTTTTTCCATTGGACATTCTTTCCTGCTTTGTCAAAGATGAGTTGACCACAGAGTTGAGGGTCCATTTCTGGGCTCTCTATTCTGTTCCATTGATCTATGTGTCTGTTTTTGTGCCAGTACCATGCTGTCTTGATGATGACAGCTTTATAATAGAGCTGGAAGTCCGG